TAAAATATGACTCTGTGTTGTTCTTTGGTTAATTCTTTATTTTGTCCCATTATTTTTCGATTTGGTAGAGATTAAGTAAATTGAGTCAAAACAATAAAACAACACAAATTTTTTTATTTTGATTATGTAAATAAATAATAGACGGTCATATAACTGCAGTATAGTATTACAATTATATGATGAAAATTTGTTAAATCGCATTTATAAAGGTATCTGGAAACTTTTGTTCATCCTTTGTATATCCTTATGATTGACCATTTTGTATTGTTTTTACTATAACGATAGAAAAACTTTAATTAATAAAATTATATTCTTTGATAATTTTTACCTAGAAAAAATATTTGTTGTAAAGCATCTATTCCTTGACTCGAAGTCTAATTTTCATAGCTTTTTCTTCTATTTTTTCAGGAAATATTTCAGATACTACTAGACATTTGTATAATTCAATTCGCTAATGTCTATATGAAAGAATTCGAATTCCATCAAGTAAGATTCAGCGCTTATTATCATATGGATTCAGCCCTATCTTATTTACCCTCTTCAGATATATTTGGTGATCATAATTTTGGAGACCATACATATCATGCTGGGTTAGTCTCTTATTCTTAAGACATTCTAGGAACTTATCATATCGAAGCTCCCTTTTGATTATGTATTTCTTTACACCTTTTGCCTTCTGGATGCCATACTTTTTCTCCCATTTCTTTTTATCCTGTAACTTTCTATATTCTTTCTCTTCTAACTCTTTTTTGAAATCTGCATCCGTTTCAGAAGTTTTAGGATCATATTCTGCTAGAAAAACTGAGTACATCTTTAGTTTTAAACATGCTGATTCACTTATTAAGTCTCTCTTTGTCTCATCCTTCATCAGAAATAAGTCTTCTGAATAATTAAGATCAAAAATATCTGGTCTTTCTGCCTGATCTTTATAAATATCCTCAATTTCTATTCACATAATAAACGAGTCTGTATCTGTATATAGTAGACGGGCCTTTTCTTTATAGCGAGACTTTATGTAACTGTACCAAAAGTTAAACATCATAACCTTACTAATGTTGAGAATTGCTTGCCTTATATAGATTAGTTTATTTAAGATTACTATACCTTTTAACATATGAATGGCTGTAATTTCTCCCTCAAATTATTTGAAATCCACAAATAATGGTGAACTTGCTAGACGCCTAATTTTTTTATCCTCTTCTATTCAGAGTAATTCTACTCTTATATGTTTTTGAACATTTTCCATCTGTTTGCCAAATACCTCATTATTCTTTAACTTATAATATATAATCCCAAACTCATCTCTATTTGCCTTGGCTATTTTGTGTTTACAAATATTTTCCTCAATATATTCCTTCATCTATGAAAATTGTCTAAACTTAAAAACGCTATAAATCTTTGTAACCTTCATTTTGAACTTTATATATATCTGAAGAACTTGATAATGAATTATATAATTGTTCTTAGTAAAAAGAGTCTGAACTAGCTTCTCTCTAGACAAGTATTTACCTCTTCCAATATTTTTATTTTGCACTAATCTTTCATTGTATAAGCTAAATCAATCTTCTGAAACTATCTGCTTTTCTGGAATTAATAGATAATCTACAAAGTAATTGTACAAGTATATTGGAATTTCTAGATCAACTTCAAGTATATAACTTATATCTGCATCAGGTGCAATGCTTTGGATATCTGGTACTTCCTCTAGATCTACCTTACCCAAGATTTCTATAGATATATATTGGATCATCACACCTGAATATAAGGCATTTATATTTTCATACATAATCCAGGACTTTAGCTTGCTAGATTCATAGTCTAGACATTGTGGATTATTTGCTTTAGCATATTGTTAGCTCACTATTGTCATGCTATCATGAATGCTATTTTCTACCATTAGATATTCATCCATATTTATTATAAATTTGAGTTCTGCTCCGCTACTCTTATAAAGAGAATCATTAAACATTTCTGATGTTGAAACATAATAAGAGAGATCTAAGCTATTATCTTTCAAACACATGATAGTGTAGTTCATGAAAATATCTGCAAGTAAAAGTATATCTGTTTTAAGATAAAGAACATAATATTTTTCAAAGTTCTTTATCTCGAATATTTGCTATACCTTTTGAGCATATTCATAATCCTCTTTACTAATATTTTGCTGACTAAGAAGTAAATAGAAGTTCTTTTTAGACAGGAGGCTTGTTCTGTCAAATTTTTCCCATGTATTATCCAATTGTATAAAAAAATACCTTTTTGAAAAAGAAGCTTAATCTTATCTATTGAATAGCCTTTCTCAGTAAAGTACCTAACAGTTAGAGGGAATTTTTCAAGCTTTCCTCCTAGATATTCTACTAATTTATCTAATCCCATTCCCATATGTTGAAAGTTATCAAGAAATCAAAGCTGGTCAACATCTATGACCTTATACTTTCCAATATTTCTAGAATGCAATTTAACTTATCAGCCATGAACTTGCTCACAACTTTCATAAGCGGATAGGAATTATACCTACGGAAATTATGACAGATAAGAGACACTTTCATCTCAAAAGATCCTATCTGTAACTTTTTATTGCAGGCATCATAAGCTGGATCTTAGAACTTGCTATTTATATGATCATGGTCTTTTACTTTATAGTTAAAAATACTTAAGGCTTCTTGATATTTTTTCTGTGCTTTTTTCTTTTCAGGATGTTCTTTTTTCATATACATTTCCCATTCATTGATTTCTAGTAAATGATGCTTTACTTCTTCGAATTTCTATAATACTTCTAGTGATAGCTTAAAAAAAGGCTTTTTACATATCCAACATTCTGTTGCTTCTTTGTATGTCTTAAGATCTCCTGATACTATTATTATTTCTGCAGGTACAGATAAGTCTTTCTATATATTTGCCAACTCCTTCTCAATTTTTATAACAAATCTTTCAAGCACATCTGGACCTCTATATAAATCATAACTTATGAATTTATAGTTAAGTGAAGTATCCATATGAATAACTACATAGCAATAGCCATACAGCTTATACATCTATAATCTTTCAATATAAGTTAACTTTATCTTTTCTTCTAAAGTTAACTTTTCAGTTAACATTTCTAGATTTCAAAAAATATGATATGGATTTGGTTACATGCATTTATAATTATAAAAAGCTTTAATACTCCTATTCTTAACTGGTATTTGTGGTCGCTGGGAGGTACTATTTAGACCCTTGCATTTTGGCAAATGTTCATTATATCTTATCTCTGAAGAGTATATATGAAAACAATAATGGCAAAGGTATTTTTGTCCTTTATGTTTGCTATGATTGTATACTAGCTTATGTAAATCTTTGATAATATAGTAGTGACTTCTTTCTTCTTCTATAATTACTAAAAGATTTACTTGCTTATATACATTTTTTCTTCTTTCTGAAACATAATGAAAATCAAGACATTTATTTTGGTTATACCATTCATAGACACATAAACTGATTTTAGGGTTATTTTCTTCAAATTTTTTATAAACTAGTGTTGAGACTAGTACTAGAATTGGGATGTCTTTCATATTAAGTTCCTTCACGAAATCTCTATATAGCTGATGCAGATTTCTTTCTAGATGAACTTTAACTAGATACAAAAACTTCTAGGATACACTATCCAAAATATCAGTCATCATTATTTTGAATATTAATAATTTCATTATTATGTTTTGGCATAGTTTTAGGTAAAGGTATAAAGGCAATAAGACCAATTGGATTAAAATCAGCTATTTCTATACTTATTTCTTCGATATAATCAAGATATGCATCTGACATTTAGTATATAGATAGCTTTAACCGTTACGCTATTACTTGTTTATATAATTTTTTCTTTAATTATTTATTTCTTATGTATCTATCACTTTTTAATCATAGAAACCTTATTGAAGATTAGTATTTAAACTTTCTGAAGAGGTTCTATCTATTGCAAAACTGAAGCATTAACTAATTATTAATTAATCTTTTCAAATCTAATAATAAAAAAGTAGGATGATTGGCAAATATTCTTGCCCATTTTTCTACAATACTAAAAAGACTTGTAGAAATGCTAGTACTAGGCCTGAAGGATGTTATTTCTATTGGAAAGCTAAAAAATGAATATCATGCTCTGATTGTGAAAAGCCTATAGCCTCTGCTTGTAAACAATGTTCACTACATATTAGAGGTTATTATGTTACCTAACACTATGATAGACTTTGACGAGAATGAACTTATGTTGGTCAATCCTATGTTAGCCAATTCTATGATAGATTTTGATCAAAGATACAAGAAAGAAGTTATGAGAAAATAATAGTTATCTATAGAAATACGCTTACAAATCTTAATATTTCTCTTTACAGAGAATGCCTTATTCTGATAAAAATGAGAGAAGGAGATTATTGTGTTAATTGCCAATCAGAATGAATGAAAAGATTATTTCAGCTAACTTAAATTTTAGGTGCAATATCCAATAAGCATTTGCTAAATTTTCATTAGACTTATTTTTTATATTTTTTTGTTAAAGTTTTATGCTATTTGATGAGCTAACCTATGCTGAACCCGTTCTTGTTTAAGGAAAAGTTAAAACAAAAATCCCATTAGACTTATTTTTTTGTTAAGCTTAATAAATATAACTTAAAAACTGATATTGATTTTACATCTCCTACAGGTACACAATGTATTCTTGTATATAGAAAAATTGAGAAAAAGTTAGAATAAAAAATTTTGTTAGACTTAATAAATATAACTGAAAAACTGATATTGATTTTACATCTCCCATAGGCACATAATGTCATAAATCGTAAGGGAAAGTTGAGACAAAATTCTCGTTAGACTTATTTTTTCATTAGACTTATTTAATAAACATACTAATTAATGTGCTAACCCTTGTAGAATCAATTTCTAATATATTTTTTTGGTTAGACTTATTTTGGTTAGACTTATTTTTTTCGTTAGAATTATTAAATTTAATTGAAAAACTGATGTTGATTTTACATCCTCACAGGCACACAATATTATGAGGGTATGAACATTCTGTTCTAAAACTCCCATAATGACATTGTGTAAAATAGAACCAAATAATTGAAGAATGGATAGAATTAGAAAATTATAAAAATCAATTTGAAAATCATGATGATGAAATTTTTTTATCAGAAGAATGGAATAGTGATTTTAATTTAAGAGGTCGTGAAATATATCCTGCTGATGATAAAATAGTTAAATAAATTTTAAATTTTTTATTTGAATGTTCTTTAGAATCTCCTTTATTTTTAGGTTCAAATAAAATATTTACTGATATATAAAAATTAGTTATAAATAAATAAGTTTTTTTTACATATATTATATACAGTTAATTTTAAAGTTTTATATAAATATACAGTTAAATATCGATTTGATAATTTTTATTTAAAAAATTATAATTTTCAATTTATAATTTAATATTATTATTTAATTAGTTGATTATAAAATTAAGGTCATATGATCATATATACTAAAAATAACCAAATGATCTATAACTGGAATTGCATGTGACTTCATAATATAATTATATTATAAAATCACATGCGATTTAGATTAGATTATAAAGGTAACTTCATAGTCTGCTAGTATCTTCATAATATAATAGTAACTTCATAGTCTGCTGATATCTTCATAATATAATGGTAGCTTTATACTCTACCAGTATCTTTGTAATATAATGGTAATATCATAATCTAATTATATGATCTGATGGTAACTTCATAATAAACTATTCATATTTTGATAGTGACTTCATAATCTATATACGGGTATCTCCTTTGTATTTATAGTATTATTTTAACTGTTTCCTGTATAATACGTGGTAACTTTATAGTCTAATAGTAGGTGATAGTATTTTAATTTAATGGTAATGTCACGATCTAATAGTAACTGCTTTTTTTTTATTTTTAATCTGTTTATATGATAAATTCTATATTGTTAGTACTGGCTTTCTATAGCTATTTGGATATCTAATTTTATGTTAAGGATGCTGACTTCCTACGCCTAATTGGATGCTGAATTCTATATTGGAGTGCTTTTCCTTTACACTTATTTGGTTGCCTTTCTAGATCCCAAAATGTAATAAAATAATATCGTATCACAAATTCTGCTGTATATTCGAATACCATTAATGATCAAAGTGCTTCAGAAAAAGTTGGGAATATTGTTAACATTGTTAATGATCAAAATAAATCAGCAGAAGTTCTGAGACCACCCTAGGTTACTTCTGTTAAAAATAAGTCAGAACTATTACAAAGCAATCATCATGCTAAAGCGCTTTCAGAAGTATACCATTTGCGATTCAACTATTACACCAGTATAAGTATGCTATTTTCACATCCTAAAGTTCAAATTATTATCATGTAATTCAAAAATTGTAAACATTATTCACTATTTTTCTGAAAATTCAATACATAATTTTATGAGATGTTGTTAGACCATTGTTACAAAACGAATAAGCATAATATTTTATCTTATTTATCTTATTCATCTTATAAAGTATATTCATATTCCATAAGTGTTTCTATCATATTTTTATCTTATCTTAATCAAATATAAAGTAAATATTAGGTATGATAATATTTATGCGAGTACTACATGTAAAAAATTTAATTTGCGTACATCTATTTATTAGTACTTTATTAAGTTTTTTTGCTGTTTCTATATAAAAAATCAAAAATTTTTATAGGGACATTTTTGAGGACAACATCGATATCAATTTTGGAGATTCTAGTTTGATTTATTATAATCTTTATTATCTGTCCTTATCAACCTTATCAACTTAAAAAATTTTAAAGTTCTAGGAAAAAAATCAAAATTTTTTTATGGTATACCACTTGGGCAAATATTAATCATATATATGGTTGATATGGTTGATATATGATCAATATATGATATATATAAAAAAAAAAAGTAAAGAGTTTGAAAATTCATAGACCTCATAGGGTTTTTAAAGACAAGTTGTAAATTGCCTTTCCAGAGTTCTAAAATTATTAAAGAAAATACTTCTAGCAT